GGGGGGGGTCAGCGCTGCCCTCCCCCGCCCCGTCGCGGGGGATGCTCAGGGCACCTGGTGGGGAGACGCCGTCGCTGCAGCCTGTCGGGTTGTCCCTGCCTGTCCCCGGCTGCTGCAGGAGATGGCTCCTTTCTTCTGCACACCGGGCTAAGTTAACCCGGCCCCGGGAGCAACCTTCCCTGCCAGTTGCTCCCCCTTGCCCTTCCCCGTGGGGTGGGCTCTGCCTTGGGCTGCTCCCCGGGGGGGGTGCCCAGGTGCAGGGGAAACGTCTTCCTCTGATGATACGTCTGTTTTTCTCCCTAAGAACATCTTGCCTTCACAGCCAGCACAGGTCATCTCCTGGAGCCAGCTGCCCAGATTCTGGGGCTGAGAAGGGAAGGTTGCAGCAACCTGCACTAAAAAGTGGGAGGTTTGGTCTTACCAAAACAGAGAATAACAGTGCAGCTTGTTTATAGGAGCTTGGCTATATTTAACAATGGAGGGGGGTTTGTGTGAGTATATTGGTAACTTCCTAACACTAGATAGCTGGTTTGGATATGTGCTGTATGTTGGGAGCCAAAAAAGCAGAGAGGTGCTCAGAAAAGAGGCAGAGATTGTGGACTGTGCATATTTTGTAGATGTTCCTGTGTTTGCAAAATACTTACCAGTGCTGAAGTGATAAACCACAAAGCAAACCCAGGAACATGCAGCTTCCACAATTAACACCTGAGCATGACAGAAACTTGTATCTACTTGAGTGACCATTTCAGACTTGGGGCTGCCTGAACATGGGGCTGCCCTTAAAATGGGGTTTCTGTAAGTCAGAGCTCTGGGGACCGTGGGTCTGTCTCTAACTTCAAGGCCATGCAGTCAGGCTAGTGAGCAGCCTCTGCCATGGGTGCACTGCGCATGTGAGCCTGTGGTGGCAAAGCCCTGCAGGTCTTGCTGGGAAGCTGCGTTAGAGGGCAGCAGAAAACAGCTTTGTGCTGATTGTCTCCGTCTGTTTTTTCATCACCAACCTCTGCCTTGTCTCCCTCCTTCTCCTCCAGTTACCACTGTCTCCCTGGTTGAGAGTAGCCGGATAGCCACAGGTGCCATCCTCCTCCTGGTCAGCCGAGTCCTCTTCATCCTCATCAGCGTTTATTATTATTACCAAGTTGGACGCCGTCCCAAGAAAGTCTAACTCCTGGGCTTTTTGTCATGGGAAGGGTGGGAGGGAGGGGTTTGTGTCGGTAATTTTGCATTATAACTTTATATTTTTGCTAGTCCTTTTTTGTTCTAAAGTGGTTTCCTTTTTCACTTACCGGCATGAATCGGTGTGTAACCCAGTGCTGGTGGAATTGCCAGGTGAAATGGGGGGAAGTGTTGTGGGGCAGGACCCCCCAGCCCCTCTGCAGGAGGGGAGGAGCAGCAGGAAGCAGGCTCAGGGAGGTGTGCAGGCCTGGCAGGCTGAGGGAAAGGAGCCAGTTTCCAGAGGGGGAACTGGCCAATGGGATCACAGGCTCTGAACCCGCTGGAACAAAGCACAAAATAAGAACAGCACATTGAAACCAAATCCCTGAGGAGACGGGGCAAAGGATTCAGCTACTTCCCTTGGTAAGCCTTGCACCTGCCTGGTGGAGTGTGCCCTCCTGTACAGCCCACTCCCCTTTTAGCAAGTACTGACTGGCCAGGGAGCTGGGAGCTGGACAGGGCCAGGTCTAGTTCAAGGCTTTGAAAACAGCTGCTCTTTCCTCCCTGCCAGAGGTCTGAACCCACTTGTAGTTTTGTACCAGGTGCTGCACAAAGCTTGGCAGGAGATAGAGCAAAGGAAGGAGATTTCTTTTTCCCTTTGCAGGCACAGCAATGTGAACAGCAGAGCAGCTCGACATATAGTCCGAGAGAAGTGAAGGAAGCTGTTGGAAATAGCCAGTTGAGCACAAAGACATCCCCTTGCTTGGGATGTTTTGTGAAGTTTCCCGGCTGGGGTCCTGTCCCTTCACACCGGAACACTCTCTACAATTGCAGCTTTACTGATGGTAGCAGCAGGGGGTGGGAGGTAGCATCTGATACTTTAGTTAAGCAGTGGCTGGGAAGAGCATGCATCACTACAGCTGCTTGGGTTAGTGAGCAGCCTCTTAGAGATGAGGCCCAGCTATGGGAGATGGTGTTCTTGCTCTGCAAATGTGCAGGCATCATCGCTTCTCTGCTTTGAGAAGAGAGGACCAAAGTTTGTGGCATTAAGATAATTCATTGGAATGAAGAACAGCAAGGAGCAGGGCATGTGAAGGCAGCATTGCCTTCTCTGGCTCAGTCAAGGAAGGACTAAATGTTCTTTAGAGCTCCCTGGCCAGCTTCTCCACCACCTCCTGGGCTTAACAGCATTTGCTGCCCTACTTCCTAGCGCTTTCCTTGCGGATTATCCCTGTCCACAGCTGAAGGCGGCATTGTTTGTTCTCCGTTGGACTAATGCCAGAAGGTCTGTGTACAGGATATGGACTTCTTACTCATGTGCTACTGTTGACTGGATCAAAGCGTGCCCTGGAATAGAGCTGACATCCCAAAATCCCAGTAGAAAGACACCTACACAAACAGAAGTGCTGGTGTGAACAACAGCTCTCGAGCCTCTGGCGAGACCGGGATCTACGGCTACTGCTGTTTAATATCTTAGTAGAGTTAGAAGAAGGTAGTGGGTAGTTACTGTGTTGTGTTAGTGCTTTTGGCATTTAGAAGCAGCTGCATCAACTTGGGACACTGTGTGCATTGTACCTACTGGCCATGCAAAATGTCTGTCGGGTAAGAATACTGGAAATAGTTGAGCCAGGAAACATCACAACTGTAACTTTTGATTTTCCTCCTAAGAAGTAAATCAAAGGGAGACGCAATATCCAACAGTGAAATTCTGGAGCCTCCCAACAATACATGCCTGCCAAGCTGCTTTCAATGTGTCCAAAATAAGATACTGAGCAACTAAAACTTCTATTTAAGAGAGGTCTTCCTATTCAGGTGGAAGAGTTGGGCTCCAAGAGGGAAACCGTTTCCTTGTGAGGCAGGAAATGATCGAGTACAGCCTGGAGAGTAGCATGACTTAGATGGAGTGGTGCCACGTGTGGGAGCTGGAGCATGGCAGGCTGTGGCTGTTGCTCTCACCCTGCACATCACTTGCATGGGCAGCTGCCCTGGCTTCAGTGCAGCACTTTGGCCGTAGTTGCTGGAATAGGTACGTGAAGCTTGATATCTGTGTACTGGAGGTCACAGGAATGTATGCATAGACTGATCGTTGGGTTTGGGGGAGGGAGGGTGGGGAATTGTGTTTCTAGGAAAGACAAGTAAAACTTACCACAGCAAAAGCAATCTTGCAGAAGAAGGTAAGGAAGGGTCTTCTAAATGCATTGGCCCATCTGTGTTGGCCTCGGGTCCTAGGAACTTAGTTATGACTCTGGGTCTGTAGATAGCTGCCTGATTAGCATACAGTAAAATGTCATCTGGCAGGTGAGAGAAATGAGTTACTGCAGTATGTGAGAGCAGTTCTCTGAAGACTTCTTGATGGGAGAAACAGTTACAGCTTTCCAGAGGAATTTTAAATTGGGTGAGGTCAGGTTCTTCTGGTCCCCTGCTGCCTCTGCAAAACTGAAAACAGTGACCAACTTCTAGTTTTGCCAGTCAATGTGTTCTGCTCCAACACAGAGCAAAGCCTGGGTGAGTGGCCACATAAAAGATCTGGTGCTACTTGGTACTTACTCCTGAAAGGGGAGCAATGAAGAAGTTGTTTTATTTTCATGCTTTTTGCTCCACCTTGCTGTAAGCAGACCATGTAGAAAGTATAGAAGTGGACTGGGCCTCTACACCTCTTCTACAACTAAGTGAGAAGGGACAAATGGATGCTTCTGCCTGGCAGTGGCTAAAAAAAGGCTGTGGTCCCTTCTCATCATCAAGGTGCTGCAGGAGAAATATGGCCAGGCCCACTTGAGGAGGTGAATTTGTAGCAGGTGAAGTCTAGGTGGGAGTTATCCAGGGTGGCTTGAGGCTGGAACCAAGGCAGAGCATCTGCTGTGCTGCCAGAAACCAACTCTAGCTGGTTATGAATGTGATAGGTTGTGGGGAGAAGAGGATGCTGAAATGTTTGTACAGAGCTACATCCCTAAGGACTGAGCATATGATTTGGGATCAAAAGCCTGAGGCATCACTTCAGACTCTGCTACTGTTCTGCTGAGAAAAAGCTCCATCTCCTCAGGCCTCAGTTTCTTTATCTGTTAAACTGTGAGAAAGGCCTTAGACTGACATCATCTCCCACGGGAGACACTTTGCAATGTTTTGCAGGGTTGGGAGTCGTGTTCCCCCAGAGGGGAGCAGGCCAGGACTAAGACTGACTCCCTTTCTCTGGCAGAGATGGACTCAAGCCCTGTGTTCATAGAGCCCTCGCTTTTGAGGGTGAAGAAAGCTCATCATTTACATAACTCTCTGCATCATCTTATTTACATCTAAATCAATATCTGGCAAACTGGAGCTGGTGAGAAAGGAGAGGCTCTGTCTGTCCTTAGCTGGCCTCTCCTTTGTGGTCTAGGGTTTTTAGTTGGGGTGAGGAGCAGGGGAGAAGGGGACACTTCAGTTTATACCTCATTTTAGCTGCTGTACCTGAGTTTATTCTTTCTCCTCTGGTAAGAAAGTGACTGTACTTAACACCAAGCAAATAGTGAAAATTAAAGCCATTTCACTTCACTGTCACAATATCTTTCTTTTTTATTTTTTTTTAAGAAACGCACACAAAAACCGTGCAGAGAGTGCTTCAGGCTTGTGGTCTGCTTTATATTACCAAAAAAAACCCCATCATTTCATTATAAAAAAGCATTATAGTAGGGAATACAGGATAAATTATCTCCACTATCTAATAAAAAGAACATTTACAGGTTTTTTTTTAAAATAGATTTCACACATTATTTCACACGCAGCCCTTTTCCCAGGCATTTGTGATGGTCATTTGAGCATTAAGTAACAGCCAGGAGGCAGGGGCACTGACAGGGGCTGTGGGCTCACAGGCACAGACTGTTCTCTGCTCCTTCCATCCAAGGTGCTCAGGCTGTGGTCACAGTGCTACAGTGAAGGAGGCAGCAGCACTGCAGCTCCATCTGGTCCCCAGCCTGTCCAGAGCTCTCCAGCAAGCACTGACTCTAGCTTGTGCCCCTGGCCCCAAAATATTCACCAGAGCTGTTAAAAACAAATACAAAAATACAGTTGCTTCTCCTGCCTACTGTTCTGTAAACTACTGTACAACAGAGGGGGCAGCCATATAATCAAGGGACAAAACAAATAAATTTACATGCTTTGCCATAGAGCAGGAATCTGCTTTCTGGACGTGCTAGTTCATTAAATTCCCCAGGAGAAATTCCTTCTGTCTGTTACTAACTTCCAGAGGTCCTCTCAGACTCGAACTTATCTTCACAGCCATCTCCAGTTCTTGTTTAAAATGTGCTTCCTGGCTGTTGCTGGGGTTTCAGGCTGTGTTCCCAGTGGCACACTCACCAGCTGCAGAGAGGATTTGGTCTTCACCCAGAAAAGAGCAATAGGGGAATCAGACAAGTTATGAGAGAAAGGAGTTGTGCAAAGGCCAGAGTAAGACAAATAAGAAATCTTTTTGTAGATACAGGGAGAGAGGGAAACTGAAAAAACTAAAAACAGACAAAGGAATGGATCTTAAAGGTCTTTTCCAACCCGAACAACTCTGAGATTCTGAGTACACAATTGGGAAAGTCAAAGAGAAATAAACCATCAGAGATCCTACTTCTGCCATGTATATGTATCATTTAGCATTCTGGTTTTGTTGGTCTGTTTCCCCCAACTGTTAAGTTTTCCTCCATGCCACTGGTGGCAGAAGAAGGCTTTATTTATGTATTTGTTTGTTTGTTTCCCCCTTCAGCCACTCACCATGCACAAATCGGGGTATTTGCCAGCCAGGCATTTCCATATTAAACTGAAGAAAAAGGAAAAAAATGGAGACTGGGGGAGGCAGTTCTGCTTCTCTCACTCATCTCCAGCCAAATCATTGTCTCTGCTCATGGTTTTGTTCCTCCTCTGGGAACTGCTCTCCCAGAACTGTCCCTAACACCAGCTCCAGAGGCAGAAGCAGAACAGATAAGCTCAGCACCTGCTTGGCCCATTCCCTGCAAGACTGGTGGATTCAACACATTTTCCCTACCTTAAGTGCAG